TTTTTTTGAAAAATAATGAACATCCTTATTTTTGGATGGATGGCAGGTCTAATTGCTTCAGTTCCTGTCTTCCATTGATGTTTGGAGTCTGTTTGAAGGAAATTTGGAAAATTTGGTAAATTAAATGTTATCTATGATTTTTGTGAAGAAAGGTACTGATGTGGTTATAGAAATTTTAGTCTCTTCATTTCCTTTCATTCTTTTCCTTTCTAACAAACTATTCACAAAGCCTCAGCGGTGAAACCCAAAGCTTGGCCGTTGAACCTCCGGGGACGGCCTCTCGTTGAATCGCTTTGAGGGAGCTGCGAAGTTGGGGGCAAATCCAAGGATGTCTTGGAGTTTAAGATAGCAAAACCGTGTAAGATGAAAGATTTCTAAAGAAATTTAGGAAGATTCAAAAAAACAATGCTGCCATCAAGGAACTTTGACTTGCCCAGGTGTGGGATCCATGTTAATGTGGCATGTGTGGCCATCGTCAGTGCGCAGGCCAAGCTTAAGAAAACTTCTGGGCGATTGATTTCCTGAAAAAAAATAGTGGGCAATGATTGTCGCACGCTGCCAACTCAGAGCCGGACGTCCGGCTCTGAATTAAGGAATTTGCTATGTAGCTTTGATCTGAAAAGGTAACATGTGCTACGTAGCTTTCATTTTTTGAATCATGTTCAGCTCTGCCGCACATTGTTAAATTCAGAGCCGGACGTCCGGCTGTGAATCAAGGACATGCGCACACGCATGCTGATCAAAACAGTTTTTGGCTACAACGTGTTGTGTCTCAGCTTGGCTCGAGGCTGAGGTATCCAAATAGAATTTGTTGGCGTGGGCTATCCACGACAAGGCCAATTCAGTTCACGAACGATCATGGGCAAGCGTGGAGGAGATCACCCGCATGGGAAGGTGGCCAAAGCCAAGGCTAAGCCGAAGCCATTGGTGTTGCCACCTGCGGTTGGTGACGCGTCCATCAACGCAGCCATCCAAGCAAAATTGGCTGATTGTGACACCACCATCAAGACCCAGTTCACAGATTTGCAGGCTGCAAACCCAACTGCGAGTTCGGGAGTTGCTGCTTACGAAAAGGTCGCCTGTGCAAAAGCTTTGTCTTCAGGTCTTCCTTATGTGGCATCATGCCCGTTCTACTGGCTGGATCCAAATTTCGAACTGCAACCGAATGTTCCCAAATATCAGACACGCATCGACAATCTCCAGGAACACTTTTTCAGTTCCCCGGCCTACTTGGACAAGCCCATTGAAGTTTTCCTCCGAGAGGGTGAGATCCCTCACAAGATGATTGGGTCGTTGAAAGCCACAGACCCTCCCGAGATGCGGGACGCGTTTCGACAAGCAATTGCGGCTGCGATCAATGGCACCGCCAAGGCCAAGGAGTTGGCGGAGTGGAGAGAGATTTTGATGTCCACCGTCTTCAAGTTTGTGGAATCTTGGGTTTCACTTGAATCAATTTTGGTTCTTGAAGGAATGCACGAACAAACAACTGCAATTAAAAGACTTCTATAGGTCTTCCCGAGACTTCTACCTTTGTCGAATGTGTAGCCCAACCTAGGTGACAGATGGTGACACTCACATCGATTCGGTGTTTGCAACAATCGTGCAGCGGCGAGAAGACATTTGTGTGATGAAAGAGAATATGGCGGTGACCACTATGATGAGAATTTACGAGATCATCGATTTTAAACGGCAAATGGAGGCAACCGCAGGCAAACAAAGCAAGAATTCATTGGCAAGCCAGTATGCCAAAGTGAAGTTTGCAAAGGGGACGGAGCCGGTCAAGAGCAGTTACATAGAAGTTTGTCCATCCCCACAGTCCAGCAGATTTTGATTGCTTTGGACCAGCTCCCCGTGAACCCAATAGATTCGATTTACAAAATCCGGGAGATTGTTATCCAAGCAGAGAAAAAACCAGAATTGATGAGCTGGTCCTTCAGCATGATCGCTGACCATTGGCAGCATGTTGATGGAGCCGACCCCATCCCAATTCGAAGGCTGAAAGAACAGAGTGGCAATGACATCAGCCTTGTCCGCCTTTTCCTGTGGAAAAGGCAACTGAGGGACCACCTCTGGCGGTATATGGACCAAGAGTTTGCCTCCTGGGATTGTGCCATCAAGACCGACATTCGGCGGTTGACAACTTCGGTTGCGGTGCTTCGCGAGCACCTTGGCTACCAAGAGGCTACCAAGAAGGAAGGTGACAGCAGCATCATCACCTACAGGCCTAGAGCTCAATGGCCAGAGTCAGCCGATGGCTTTCTGAATGTCTTTGAGTCGTTGGTATTTGGCTACCATTTTGACGACAGCATCATTGCTCAAATGAAGAACCACCGGTCGATCGAGGACACGCTGGGCCATCGTGACCTCAGGCTGGGCCTCCTCATTTCATGCAGATGTGTTTTGGATTGCTGAAAAGCAACCGATCACACTGCTGAAAAGCATTATATAATCAGATTGCTGAAAAGCAAGCGCGATGCTGAAAAGCTACTGCTTTGCTAACAGGGGTTGTCGTGCGCCTGCAGGATGTTCATGGACAGGGTCACCAATGCCTATGCAAAAGAGAACCCGAACGAGAAGGAGGAAGAACTTGAGAAAGATGAAACCGATGTTGCGGCCAACGCTCATGCTGTAGAAGAAGCCTGTGCTCTTGCCAATCTGTCAGAAGCTGAGAAGATTGTCAGGGCCGCAACCCCAGAGGAACTAGCAGGGGATCGGTTGCTCAAAGTGCAAGCGGGGTGCCGCATTGCAGAGAGGAAAGTGAGGCAGCAAGTCCATTTCATCCATGATACTGACGACGAGGGAAAGCTGATCAGTGACATGAAAGCTGCCTTGGCCAGTCAGGTGCGAGGGGATGAGAACAACCGGAAATATGTCTGCATCGTGCTGGACATAAAGTGTCTGTGTGAGGCAGGCAGTCAAGGTAAATACCGGCTACCGCCGACAAGGGCCGCTCAAGTGAAGCGCTTGCTCAATGGCGTGCTCGGATCCCGCGATGAAGGAGACCTGACGGACGGAGACGTCCTTGTGATTGTAGATGGAGGAAAAGGATCAGGAACAGATTGGGTGGACAAGCAGATTTGCAAACACCTTCCTGCCAAGCGCTACGAGATGCTGCAACACTTGATTGTGTACACGCACGATTCCTGTGAGAAGAGGTGGGGAAATTAAGAATATTTCTAGATTTGTTTGTGATAATACCATGGTTGCCAGATGGGTAGGCTGCCTTTGGCAGGATGGCAAGAGCCAGCAAAGCACCTCTACAATTGTCGGAGACAGCCACTTTCATCACCCATGCGGAGCTTTCTTTCAAAGTTCAGCCAAGATTGTTTTCCGGAAGCACCCGAGGAAACGTCATTGGTCCACTGGCAAAGCCGGACTATACTGATGCTGCTGGGGTTTGGCAGGTGCTCTATGCCGACAAGAAGAAGATGTTTGGCGACGCCAACCTTCCACTTCCAGGTGGCACTTTGCCTCATGAATTGGACGAGGAGGATGAAGAGGAGAAGAAGCAAAAGACCAGAGTGAGGAACTCAGATCTGGTTCCAGCTTTCTTCCACGAAAGTCCTCAGAGCGTCGCTTTTGAGATAGCGCATTCGCTCCAATGCATGGCTATCTTAGACCTAGCATGTGGCAGCGGGCACTATGCATTTTGGGCTATCAAACACAGAGTGCCGTATTGTGGCATTGTGTTCAATGAGCACCATGAGAAGGCCTTGATGCAGAAGTTGGTGTCCCGCACCCTCACGGCAATGTGCGATTCAAATGATCATGAGCTATATGACTCATCTCTTGCCAATGAAGTCATTGAGCATGACAAGGATAATACTCCTGCAGAAAACAGTCAGGAGGGAGGTCGTGGAAGGGGGCGAGGCGGGCGAGGGCGTGGGCGAGGTGGTGGAAAGCCCAAGCCGGAGCCCGCGGCGGAGGGTGCTGCTGGGGATTCAAGGGACGATCTCTTGAAGATGATTCAGGACGCAGCTGCTCCGACTGAGCCTCAGGAAGCAAAAGTGTGAGCCAGTCAGTGTTCGTGAACAGCACACTTTGTTAAATCAAGGGCGGTGCCACATCCCTCGGCAATGTGAAAAAATGACATTAAGACATTGATATTCATGGCTTTCTTCATTTGAAGCCCTTGATTGAAACAAAAGCACTCAGCGTTGACCTACATCACGTGATGACCGCTGGGTGACAGTGCAGTGCTTTGAACTTCGAACTTCACATGGGGGCTTCGCCTTGTGACGCATTAAAATATTGTGAAATTAGTTTAGGCGTTCAGGTTTTTTGTTGCGGATTCATGTCACAATGTGAGCCCCTTTGCAAGACTCAGTGTTGATCGACATCACGTGATGCCCGCTGAACTTGCGACTAGACCACGCCAGGCTTTGCATATCTGTTTTCAGGTGGCAGCTGCTGGAAATGACGACTGCTCTCCCGCTTTTTCAATGTACACTTTGAGTTGAGAGTCAGTGCACATGCCAGCTTCACACACGTCGTGGGGCCGCCTCAAAAAAGCCGCCCGAATGTGAATGAGAAGCTTTGACACCAACTTCATTATGTGAAATGCAGATCAATAGCCTGAGTAGTGCAGAGCGTTGTTTAGTGCAGGCTGCCTGGTGAAAGGCCGGCGCTGTGTGAATTTGGTGGCAGGCATTGGTGACCAGAAGGTTGGCTTGCTAGCTTTTGATTTTTTCCTACTGCATTGAAGCCAGCTTCTCAGGTTCAAAGTGGAAAGAAACATTTTGCCAAGATCTTTTAGTCTAAATGCCGACTGTGTTTTCACGCCCGGCGGTCCGGAAAGATACGCTGAAGACCAAAGGCAAGCTGCTAAAGACGCCCGCGCTCAAGTCCGGTTGCGAGACAGATGGCCAGCCACCAAAGAAAAATGGCCAGCTCAAGTCCATATGGTACGCTTCAGACTGCTCTGGTCTTGATGTGGGGGCGCTGTCCTTGAAAAGAGCCGGTGTGAAATTCCGGCATTGGTTTGCTTCAGAATCTGACAAAGGATGCCGGGATGTTCTGCACAAAATCCATGACAATGTGGAGGTGATCTTCCATGATTGCAGAACAAAGGACCTGCGTCGGCTGAAGCAGGAGCGTTCTCAGAACCCTGGTGTGAAATTAATTTACACATCGGGGTTTCCTTGTCAGCCCTACTCGAAGGCCGGCAGTCAACAGGGTGAGCACGACCCCAGGGCAGGTGTGGTGTGGTCAGTGATCGACACAATTTCTGCTTTGTTGCCAACAGTCTACATTCTGGAGAATGTGGCGGACTTGGCTGCGTCCGGCCGCTATGCTAGTGTGTTTCAGAAAATCATGCAGAAATTGGAGAACGTGGGCAGGGGTGCTTACCACATTGAATGGAAGATTATGGATAGCTTTGAGTTTGGTGCAGTTCCAGCCAAGCGGAACCGAGTATATGTGGTGGGCTGCTTGAAATGCTGTATGACTGGTGCATGGACATGGCCCGGCCCCATCCAGCCGCCATCTTTGGATTCAATTTTGCAGCCAAGAAAAAAGGATGAAAAGGCCGACATTGCAAGCCTGAGCAAAACCAACTTGAGGAACATCGCGGAGGGCATTCGCAAGATCCAGGAGCAATCAGAAAGTGGTGCCTCATGGAAGAAACAACCATGGGTGATCGACTGCGCAAACAGCGCAACCTTTGGACTTCGCTTGTCATACAATTCCTTTCCGACAATCACCAAGAGCCATGCAAATTCTTTGTGGCTTGTTCACAAAGAAGATTTCGCAAACGAAACCGAGCTCTTGGCCGGCCAGGGCATCAAATGGTCCGACCTGGGCGTTCGTGCAGGTTCGCTTCCCGCAAATAAGATCGGGCAAATGGTTGGCAATTCGTTCACCTTGACCATCTTTGTGAGGCTCTATCAGCAAATCTTTCCATGCTTGAAGATCCGCATGGCCAAATCCAAGTGAACAGTGGCCTGCAGTGCCTAGGATATAAACCAAACACCGGGCTGGCACCGCCCTTGAGACACCGCAAAATATCGCTTGTTTTGGCTGCTCCAAGTCCTCGTGCATCATGGCTTTAGCCATAAATCTTTGAGAGGGCAGCTTTTAGCTTTTTGTTGCTTTGCAAGATTTGGCCACTTTGCTCAGCATCCATGCGCCCGTACCTTTCAAATGTTCTCTTGTTCTTGATGCGTGCGTATTGCATTGCTGCATCGCAAGGCACGCCGCTGAACTTCAAGTCGTTGATCATGCGGTGCCGTCCTGAGTGAGATCGTATTGTAGCAGGGTCGAGCAGAACGGAGCCTGGTGGTGCCCGAAAGCTTTTGCGAACCTTCGTGATGTTGTGACAAACGATGTCCTTGGTCATAGGCCCCGTGCCTTCCCTGTTGGGAAAAAGAAAGCTTCCATTTTTTGGCCATGTCCATGCATCTTTGAAAGTGCGCTGCCCGCAGGCCCCCCAGGATTTTGTCTTCTTGCGCGAGCTCCCATGGTCACGGAGGCGGCGCAGCAATTTCAAACATGATGAGAGCATGATTTTCTTGACCTCCAGGGTTTGGCGCCAACACATATACTGTATTGTAAAACATACTAAAAAACATCATGTTGTGTTTGGCTTGCCATGGCCTCTGGCTGTCGTTTGAGTGGCTTGATCTTGACGTAGCGATGCTGCCAATTGAAATGTGTCGCTTTCAAAGCAAGAACCTCGCTTATACGTAGACATAAGATATGGGAAAGTGTGACAGCGACAAACACCCACATGGGTGCTTTTTCATGCAGGTGCTTCCGCCAAGCTGGCCACAAGCGGCCAGACAGAGTTGCTGCTTGCCCCAAAGGCTGGACACGCCGCACCATGAAGTACCCAATCGTAAGGAAGTAAGGTGGCAAATGCTTTTTGAGGCACTAAGGCTGCAGAGGTTTTGAACCGTTCCGTTCCGTGCTCCATGCGCGGGAGATCGCCCAAAGGCCCCTTAGGCGACCCCCCGCAGACGCGCAGTTGGGATCCCGAGCCGGTCGGACCAAAGGCGACCTCCCATCCTAGGGTAGGGCGGGCGCAGGACTCAGCTCCGACACGAAGGAACGGCGATGGAAGGAAGAAAGGAAGAATGAAAGAATGAAAAACATCTGAAACTCAATGATCATGTGTATGCTTTTCAGCAAAGTACCTGCTTTTCAGCAGTGTTGTGTTTTTGCTTTTCAGCAAAACTGATATGCTTCTCAGCAAAAGGGTTAAACAGACATAAACAGACAAGAGGAAAAGCAGAAACTCAGCGAGCATGCTTTTCAGCAAAACACCTGTTGCTTTTCAGCAACATAACAAAGCATTGCTTTTCAGCAAAACTGACACGCTCTTCAGCACGAAGTCTTGAGGTCGCAGCCTTCCAACTTCAGCGGGGGCCTTGGAATCAACGAAGTCAACGAAGTCACGTCAGCTGAATGCAAAGCAAAGCATGTTGCACGTCGGAACACTGTTGCTTTAAGCGCATCACCTCAAGAGAGTTTCCAAACATGAGTTCAGGTGACATCCCTCTTTCGGTGCCGGACGCTTCTGAGTCGCAGCCTTAGCAACCATTGCATGCGCAGTTAGCAACCATTGCATGTGCGCTTCGCTCCTGTGCGCTAAGCGTTTTTGTGTGTGTGTGTGTGTGTTTACTGGCGAGAGAAAACTGTGCTGAAAAGCACTTCCAAAGACGCTGAAAAGCATTCACCCGTGCGTGTGCTGAAAAGCATTCACCCGTGCGCTGAAAAGCGCTTGGTTTTGGCTGTTTCGAAATCGTTTCCAAAGCATGTCCAAAGATGCTGAAAAGCATTCACCCGTTTGCTGAAAAGCATTCATCCGTGCGCTGAAAAGCCCTTAGTTTTGCCTGTCTGATTTGAGACCGTTTCTATCGCCGACGGTTTCTGCTCTAGACACACGCGGCACAAGACAAGTCAACAACACGCCAAGCATCGCAGCACGCGTGTGTTCTCCCATGTGCACCAGCAGCACTCAAAAACACCCATCTGCAGCAGGCCGACAGAGTAGAACAAACAAACACAGACTAAGTTGGCTGAGACACATGCAAGCAATCAGCAGCCACTCACTGAACCTGCAATCATCAGTCACTCACAACTCATCCACAAATACCACGTCATCACTACTCAACTCATCAGTCACTCACTAGTCGTCCACAAATACAACGTCATCACTATACTCAAATCATCAGTCGCTCACAACTCATCCACTCCACAAATAAGACCACATTCTCAATCCTCAAATGAGACCACATTCTCAATCCTCAAATCATCCGCTGCTCTCTACTCATCTACCAAACGCCACCTCGTGCCTCGTGAGTGGTCACAAGTGCCTGCTCTCATGGATCCGCCGAAAAGAGATGAGCCCGAGCCGAAGACGCAGATGGGCTGGTCCAACATGGTCCGCCGAGTGGACCGGGCTAGTGTGCGAGTCAGCCAGTTGATGCTGGCGCTCCAATGGCTGCTGAACCTGGTCTTCCCGCAAGGGCTGACGGTCGAGCAGGTGGCGGACATGCAGTCTGCAGTGCTGGAGTCCCAGAGGAGCCAGAGGGAGAATGACGCTGTGATGTTGGCACAGATGCAGCAGCAACAGCGGCAGCAGTTTCAACAACAGTGGCAGCAAATGGTGCAGCAGCAGCACGTGCAAGGGCAGCAGCAACAACAAGCCCAGCAATGGCAAGCGCCAACGCAGCCGCAGCAACCAGTGCACCAACAAGCACAACAAGCGCAACAAGCCCAGCAAGCGCACCAACAAGCGCAACAGGCCCAGCAAGTGCCAACGCCGCTGCAGCACCCAGCGCACCGCCAAGCCCAGCAAGTGGCAACGCCGCTGCAGCACCCAGCGCGCCACCAAGCGGCAACGCTGCTGCAGCAGCAGCAGCAGCAGCACCCAGTGCACCAACAAGCCCAGCCAGTGGCACATCCAGCGCACGCGCACGCGCAGCAAGCCAGCGCCAGTGCATCCAGTGCGCAGCAGCAGTCGTACATGCAACAGCTGGGCAAGCAAGTGCCACCAGCGCATCCGCCGCCGCCACCTCCAGGGCAGCCTCACATGGCGCCACCAACGCAGCCAGCACCACCAATAATGCGTCCTCCAGTGGCGCCCCCAAAAGAGCAGCCACCGCTGAACCCAGTTCTGCAGCAACCGATGGCACCTCCGCAGCAGCAACCGATGGCACGTCCGCAGCAGCAGCCTCAAGCACCAGTGCCAAGGTCAGCGCGACCAGCAGAACCTGCAAAACCACCGGCGCCCAAGCCGAGGCCCGAGCAGCCAAGGCCCGAGCCACCGCCGCAGCCGGCAATGGATCCAAATGATCCAAAGGCAGGTCCACCGCAGGATCCAAGACTGGGCAGAGCACCCAGCAGAGGTCTGTCGACGACTGCGAAGATGATCCCAGTGCCTGGATCTCATTTTCTTGACAGCATGTCAGTCTATCTTTGCGCGAACGCATTCGATTTCTTTCATAACGCGGTGACAAGGCCAAAGGGATCCGTGGGCGAGCTAGTCGCCGGCAAGGCCAAGGCGGTTTCGAGTTACAGTGTTTTTGATCTTTCAAGCTTCACACTGGCAGGCTGCGGCTGCCCGACAAGGAGCAAAGCCCAAGAGGTCGTTGGAAGAGGCCGATGAAGTGACTGCGATTAGCTCTTTGCAGGTTTTAGGGGATAGGAAAGTTCCTTTCTTGCAGTGTCATGTATAGGCTCCTGGGGGATCGTCATCCAGCCGTCCACATGACGCAAGGGTGCCCAGTAGATGCGAAAATGATGTTTTACGCATGCACTTTTTGCGACTGGCAGGATTCAGCGGAAGTCGAGGCAGCCGTTCAGGACATCCTGAAGCATGGCAATGATGAGGAGAGGGGTCCCGCGTAAAGCCAAATCCTCCTGCTGTGCAGTGTCAACATTGCTTTCTGATGGCGGCAGGAACTTGCAGGAAAGAAGAAAAAGGCACGACTGGTTTGATACGCAGCGTCTGACATTTTGCACATCCAGGGCCCCCCTGACTCAGGAGAAGGCGAAGGCACAGGAGAAGGCGAAGGCAACGGCAAAGAAAGAAGCCACGCCAAAGAAAGAACCCAAAAAGGAGAAGAAGGAGAAACGGTAAGGGATCACTTTCATTCAATCACACAGAAATCAATCTTTCACACACACACACAGAAATGTCGTTGATCCAGGACAAACAGAGATCCAAAGCCAAAGAGGACACACTGTTTGTTTTCTGGAACATCATCACGAAGCATCATCATTGCATCAGCACTTTCATCAAATTTGCTTCAGGATGAGGAGTCCGACGAGAGCAGCGCGAGGCAAAAGAAGAGGCAGAAGAGGAGTGGATGAGGACAGCTGCAGTAGAACATCATCTGGAAGATTCTGGAAGCATCAGAATGCAATAGGATTGGAAAACTCGAGTCGGCTGTGTCTGCCACAGGCGACGATGGGCACTCTTCGATGGAAAAAATGTGCACGCGTCGCCTTGCAACTTGCACGTGCACCATTGCATGCAACAGTTTTGGATTTGCCCACGGCCCATGTGCAGACAAGGAACGCGCCCTTGGCCATTGTCTCATCCATGTCACATCCTGCAGGCAGCTCAGGGAGAAAGAAACAGTATCACTGAAAATACTTGAAGCATTTCAACAAAACAGTATTTGCTTTTCAGCAAAGTGTTGTTTGCTTTTCAGCAAAAAGCATGCTTTTCAGCATGAATTCGAGTTCAGGGCACTGCGATTTCAACCTTCGGATTCTTCATGACTGTCGTATCCCCTTGGCCACGTCTCTACTTGCAACGAAAATAACAAACAGACATGACAAGCAAATGCCTGAAGTTTTCACATGATTTGGCATTGCAAGTCACTAAGGAACCTGACGCGATGACGTCCTGCCAATTGTGCCCACGCTCCTGCAGATTGGAGGAGACACATGAATTGAACTGCTTGTTCAAAAACAAGAAGCTA